TAGAGCCCATTATGATAGATCTTAAATTTTGGCCAGTTTATGTCTCATAATGTCCTAAGTTTAAGTCCATCCTCCTAATAAGAAAGTGGGTCTCTTGTTTTACGTAGCAAAAGCTAATGAATGGTTTGGCCCAAGTCTGCTTTTGTCACTAGATGTCGCTAGAAGGAAGAAGATCTAGAAATAGGTAAAAATTTCTTAAATGAAGTGTATTCACCCTTAATTTTAGTAGGTAAATGAGATAGTTTGCCAATGGAATGAGTAATTTTACTCTTATAAGATAATTGGATAATATGCACTTGAAATAAGACAATGCAATTGTGTTTTCTTATTTTAAGTGTAAATTGTCTTGTTCCATTGGCAAAATGTCTCTTTTGCACTTATTTTAAGAAAAAATGTCTTGTCTCGGTTTAGATTTTTTGCAGTGGACAAATACTTTATCAGGGTTTTCCATTTTCAGAAAGTTATTAATAGTTTGCATCTTTTATTATGAGCCATACTTCAGTGAACATCCCTACATCCTGTTTAATGTTACATGTTTCAAAAAACGTATTTAAAAGTGTCAAAACATTTATTTTTAATATCCAACCAAAAAAAAAAAAACCCTAGCAACTGCTTTTAAAGGATACATGCCACACTGTTCAGACATTTATTTTTCTACATCACAATCAAATATTGTTTTAACTGAACGTCGACATATATTACAATATTCTCAATGGCATATGAAAAAGTTCAAAGTGTCTGACTTCTGAGGTTTTATACCGCTAGGCTATTATGGGAGTTATATGGGCCTATTATTCCATTAGCTTTCTTTCCCTCAAAGCACTTTTACCACTAGCCAGCTTGGTGTTGAAGCCAATCAATGTATTCCACAGAACTGCACGTGATTGGCTGTGGCTCCCGAGTAAATGAGCATAATGAATTCAACTTGGTTGTGTCTGATATTTCCTCTGGGCACAACCTGGGCATGTATTGGGGTCAGAGTCCGTTTCAGCTTAAAGCTGGCTTCATCACCAGGGAACATGCTGTTTGACCTAGTGATGGACGGCACTGTGCGGAAATATGAGCTGAACTGATGTGGAGGTGGGGCTGAGTTGTATAACATTGGCTTAATGCATTGCATTGACTTCATCCAGAAGCAAACATGCAACCCCCCCCCTTCCTTAACCATTAATATGAGAGCTTATCTTAAGACAAATTATACAGTTTACACCTTGTTTTAGTGAGGAGGGCAGGTAGATCATGAACGTTCACCAACCGTAATGAACCCTTTTATTCAAAGGCCGCACACCCAACTTGAGGATGTTAACTGTTTACTAGAGGTTTCAAAATAAAATAGAAATTGGCAATTACTATATAAAGCCGAGGGTCTACACCTTTTCACATCGTATAAATGAAAAGTGATTCGTCTTTGAAAAATGCTGACTAAAAGCAGGCTTTGGTTGCAGCTTTTTTTCCACAGGAAAGGACAGTACAGTTTAAGTACCTGGACTGACCCATCTCTGTAATTGAATTGTATTTCTTTTTCTTTAATTATCAGCAGGAGAAGAGAGGCCCAGTGTGACCCAAATCACTTTTAAAAGGACCAAACAAGTGAAAAGTCTCGCCTGTTTAAAGGCAGCCTGTACAGAAACCTATAAGTTGTTTTACTTCCTAAAAACATTAAGCATAAACTTAAGTCATTATTATATGAATATTTAGGGTAAACGATTATGTGTGTATATATTTGTGAAGTTGGATTAAATGACATTCAGAGAATTTTACAAATCTAAAGTGTTTTAAAGTGCTTTTTCTAAACTGCTGCAAGTAGTTTGAGGCGTGGCTCCAGCTTTATACATCTGAGGATTAATGTTCAAAATTCTGAAACATTTATAATGGATTTTCGTTTCATAATCAGAACATAAATTTTAAAATATGCTCTATGGCTCCAAAAATGAAACTTACTGATGATTGAAATGCACCTGGAGGTTCATGGCACAAAAGCACACGGACGCAATTTAGCTGAGCAGTTTCTGCTGCCAGATGGATCAGTTAGTGTGAAAATTGTTACTTTTTTTTTTTTTTTGCAATGCTTGATCTAAGTCAAATTAAATAGAAAGGGTCTTAGAACATCCAGGCTTTCAACTGAAATATGTGACTTTCCTTATGCTTGAAGTGAAGAAAAGGTTTTTAAGGTCTCAAACCTGATTAAAAACACAGATGTAAAGAAATGTTCAGCTTTCAACCTGAGAATGGTATTGACTGATTTTGCACAGCATATTCTACGTTTGGAAATGTATTTTTTATTTTGCTCCCTGGTCAAAGAAAGGTAACATTTCTTGATTGACAGCAAATACTATGTAATGATTTTAATGGGGCTAGGAGGTAAACTCAACACCTTAAAAAACTATGTAAGTAGTTATAAATTATATTTTGGTGATGCATGATCCTTTAAAAATAGAAATAATTCATGAAAAATCTTAAGTGTTTAATTGCATTTTTAGAATACAAATCCGGCCCATAGTTGCTAAATAAATGCATTGGCACTCCATATTCTTACCGCCATCATGTCTCTTCCACATGGAGCTATTTCCTCATATTACGCATCATCAGAGCACCTTTATATTTAGCAGCCCTCTCCTTTCCACACTGATTAATGCTAAATTTGTGTAGTTCATAAGTTGAGAGTTTGGTGTATTCAGAGGCATTGAAGTTAAAGGAGTAAATAAAAAAAAAACATGCCGCACTTTTTAGATTGTTATGAAAAAAATATTGTCCTTTTTAGGTCTGTTTTAACATTATGTGCTACTTTTGTTGGTCTGTCATATAAAACCTAGCAAAATACTTTGAAGTTTGTGAACTGTTGAAAGTTCTCAGCTTAGCTGAAAGAAGATGTGCTCCATAGTTCCAACTGCGTCTGACTTTCCTGAAGGCCTTTGACATTAAAAGGAATGGATCTAACAGAAATATGTCAGTGAATGTGCTTTAAAAAATATTCTTTAGCAGCGCAGCAGCCCCGGGGTTTGCATGTGTCCCAGATAGAGGTTCTCCTTTGTCTCGTAAAACATTTACAGTGGCAGACGTTCCTGCCTTCTGCCGGTGGAAGAATGCCAGTATGAAGGCGACTCCACATTTAGTTTCCTCTTATCTCTGTCTCAGGTCAGATGCCAGTAGTTTCATGGATAACTTGAGATTAAATTTATATTCTTTGGGATCTATAAAAACTATATTTAAAATTGAAACCTGATATTGCTGGAAAACAAATGTGGGAATAAAATAGATAGAATACTACATGTTATTTGGAACTGCAGGAAAGTAAAATGCACGTATGAGACAAGCGATAACATATCTGGTTGTTGTAGAGGGTTTATAGGAACACATTCATGTCTGCTAAAAGGTTTACCAAATTTTTTGAGCTGGCGTTTAATGGACACTTCGTGGTTCTTGTTGTTTTGAAGCTGCTGTACCTCGTCCCTCACTATGACAGCTGCTTAACACTCATACAAATCAGCACTCAATTTGCCTCTTGGGTCTTGGACTTCACACCAAAATCTGAATAAATTCAGGATGTTGGTTGAAAAGGACAGACACATTTAACCCAAATTGCGTTGCACTGAAACTGATCACATTAACTGGATAACTTACACCATATGCCAACCGTCACAAGGATGTGTATGACAAGGAAGTGCTATATATACTGTGTGCATAATTTAGGTAGTTAACGTTATAATACTTCTTAAGCTCCTTGAGATATTTACTGTCACAGGTAGGAGCTTCGGCCAGAGAGTAAGAGAATAAATGTTGGGGCCGGTATGATTTAAGGAGGGCCAGCCCTCGCACGCTGAAATTAGGACCGGCCCACAGGGAAAATGCCTGGTATCACAGATTACCAGTCCGAGCCTGAACAGCATTCAGGGATGGCAAAGCTTACCCAAGATGATGATCATGCAAGAATCAATACTGGACAGGGACATTTTTTTATGTCTGCTCTGAAAACAAACGGTTATGATTTAATTTTCTGTTATCTACTGTAAAGAAATATGGATATCTTCTATTAGGGAGACTATTTACACTTATAATTACAATGTTACAATGCCTTGATTGGGCGTTCATAATGTGATATTTAGTCTCGAGTTAATGAGCTTAAGTAATCTAAATAAATATTAAAAGGTTGGGGTATATTTTAATTTAGAAATACTTTGATTAGAATATCATAATTCTGATATTTTTGTTTTTTTTTCTTGAATCGACTAAAATGCCTTGGCATAAACAAAATTTAATGGTTTCTGTTGATGGGAGCCAGCTGGTTTAATTATGGTTAAAAATTCAAATAGGTACTAAAGTGGGTCTAGATTTTTCCTGAGTTTTTACAAATACAATTTACTCCTACAGAGTAGCTAAACAGTCATTTAAAAGTTATGAATTAGTTGTTTTATTTCCGCACACCTTTCCTTACCTTCATCCACCAACCTGATAAATTAAATAGCTGCATCTCTGAATATTGTCAAACTAATAGTTGGCGGTCAGCAGTATGTTACATTTTATTCAAAGCCCTTAAACTTTTCACATTTTGTTACAACTGTAACCTTGATCATATTTTGTGTAGTATTGATTGATTGATCTCACAGTGGATAAATGTACTTGTTACATCAGCTCAAATAGTCAAAAAGGAAGAATGTGCCAAAGGAAGAAAAAGGTGTATGGATGTATACAGTATATGTATACATATACAGTATTCACAGTGTGTCCACATGACAGCTTTTTTTAGTAGCTCCTCCAAAAAACATATACAAATTTTAAGAGGCCAAAAAAAATATCTTTTACACGTAAAATATGAAACACGCAGAGTGCCTTTGGTTTCATTCTACTCTATTTGCTTTCAAAAGTCACATATATTTTATATAAAAAAAAAACCCTAACCCTTTATGTGATAGAAAGTGAGAATAACAACCATAAAATGTTAAAACACCTAAACTTTTTTTTTTTAGAAACAGTTCATACGAAGCTGACAAAAAAAAGCTTTTTAAAAGTTTCATTTTATTACTTTTATTTAATTGTGTCCAATAAACCAAAAGGGCAGAAGGTAACTAAATGGGGTCAAAGTTCACCAGCAGGAGTAGGAAAACAGTGGATACTGGCTCCAGTCTGCTGGAGCCAGGTTGCCATGGTGCTCCTGTTGGTTGCCGTGGTGGTAATCCTGCTTCAAGGTGCCATGTTCCAACGTGGAGACTGGGTAGACTGGAGCCGGATGGAGAGTCTCTGCTTGATCTCGGGTACTGGGTGGTAATGGGAATCTGGGGTACTCCACACATCTGGAGAGCAGAAACAGATCCATAGACATGTTATACAATATGTTTGCATCTGAGAAAACCTATTCCATCATGACTGGATGCTGAGTTGTTTTCTATATTAGATATTCAAACCTGTAAGGTTGGTATGCCATGGATGCAGGCACCATCTGTTCATCACAGCTGTAGTCATACTCCTGCAGCTCAGTATGTGTGTTCTCTGATAGATCCTTATCCAGGTTCCATTGGGAAAGGTAACTCCTCTTCAGTGACTGCTGTGTAGAGATCTGATTCTTCTCTGCATTTTCTGACTGAGAGGGAGATGGTGTCCTCTGCAGGCCTGATGAGGAAATACAGCATCTATTTGTGAGGTATACTGTAGTTATTTTATAATCTGAGGTTTTTATCTCCTGTTCCACCCAATGAAGACTTTAAACAGCTGATAAAAATCACAGTAAATTGGTTCATTAGTAGTATATTGGGAAACACTTTGAGTAAAATAGAAAAAAAATGACCTGCTGCACTGTTATGGAGACTTTTTTTGTCTTCTGTTGATTTTTTTGCAGGGGAATTTTTAGTTGAACGGCACCTAGAAAATGTATTCAATAGAAAAGTTATGTAAACAAAGGACACTCAAAAAGACATATGTGATGTTAAAAAAACAACAACAAAACTTAAGTTGTGTTAATTGATATCAGATAAAATCGGGGAAGAAATACCTTTTACTGTGAGAATGAGTTCCTCCTTCCCTAAATCCTTTTGCGAATGGATTGTTATCAATCTTCAGTCTGGTAATCTAAACAAAGACAAGAAAATACAGATGGTGTTTCGTTAGTGCCGGAAGTAATTTTATTCTTCAGACACATGGTATTTATATCATAAAAACAATGTACAGTACAATACTCTTTTGTTTTTCTAAGGTCCACATTGTGTGACCACTTCTACTAAAGGGAATTTCTATTCTATTCTATTGATTTAGTGTGATACTAAACTGCAGCTCCTTGAAATAAACTGTAAAATTATTCACACCCTCTGAGTCTTTCTGTGTTACAGCTACATTCAAATGTAATATTTTTATATAGAGGGCAAACAGAAATGACCACATAATTGCGAAGCACAAGTAAACTGTTAAAATATTTCATTTATTTTTAACAGATGAAATAATGGAAAGTGTGGCATGCTTGCCCTTTTAATGCGTGACCCCAAAATGGATGTGAAACCTTCAAAAGTGATTATAAATAATATATAATAAACTCCATCTGTGCGTCATTTAATCCAAACATCAATCCAACCTTTATCTGAAACACAGGGGAAAATCTTAGAGATTTTACACGGGTTAGTTTATAAAACTACGGTAATACCTTTAAAACTTTATAAAATTCTTTTGCATGATGGTTCATTTGATTACACAGAAATATAATTCAGTGGTCTTTCTGCATGGAGTTTGCATGTTCTCCCTGTGCATGCATGGCTTCTCTCTGAGTACTCCTGCTTCCTCCCATAGTCCAAAAACATGACTGTTAGGTTAATTGGCTTCTCTAGATTCTCCTTAGGTGTGAGTGTGTGTGAATGGTTGTTTGTCCAGTTTGTCTCTGTGTTGCCCTGTGAGACTGGTGACTTTTCCAGGGTGTACTCCACCTCTCAATCATTGAAAGCTGGAGATCCTGGAGATAGGCACCAGTGTGTAAAACGGATGGATGAATGGATGGATATCTGCAGTCCTGCCACTACATGTATGTTGACCTAAAGTCGCTGCCCAAAGATCCAATAATCAGTCATTCAGGAGGTTTGGGTCTATAGTGCCTTTCCGTAAAAGTTTAAAAAACAATCCACTGGACTTGGTTTCCAAAGGCACTTGGTGTCCATAGTGCCTTTTAGGAGAAATTGATACCAGGACAACTTTAGTATTTGATGTAACACACCATCCCCATTTTTCCTCTGCAGATCCATCCATCCATCCATCCATCCATCCATCCATCCATCCATCCATCCATCCATCCATCCATCCATCCATCCATCCATCCATCCATCCATCCATCCATCCATCCATCCATCCATCCATCCATCCATCCATCCATCCATCCATCCATCCATCCATTTTCTGACACGCTTAATCCCAAGTGGGGTCGCAAGGGAAGCTGGTGCCTATCTCAAGCTGTCTACGGGCGAGAGGTCGCCAGTCCATCACAGGGCAACACAGAGACAAACAGGACAAACAACCATTCACGCACACACTCACAGCTGAGGAGGACAGTCATGTTTTGGGACTGTGAGAGGAAGCCGGAGTACCTATAGTATAAAACCCACGCATGCACAGGGAGAACATGCAAACTCCATGCTGAAAGACCCCGGGACAGGCCTCTGCAGGGCCATTTGTCTGAAATAAAGGGAAGATAAATATAATATCCAGACTATTTTGGAAAAAAAGAAAAACATATGCTCAGAGTTTTACACTCTAACAGGACAAAGTTACAGGTTCCTAAGAACCATACAGACAGAGTTTGGAAGAAGGCCCAGCAGACACTGTACTTCCACAGGAGCTCCTGGTCATCTTCAAGGCCAGTTTTTCAGCCTGTCTTATTTGTCTATCATTGTGTTTGCCTCATCTACTAAAGAGTAGAGTGCCAAATTGCAAAAAGCAGTTCTGCAGAGAAAATCAGGGCTGACCTCCCCTCCATCCACAACTTGTAGAGATCTAGAAATACGAGGGCTGCTCACATCATTGCAGACACACAGTTGTGATTTTTATACTTCTATTCCTCTTTTGTTTAAACACTGTTTAAATACATATTTACAAGAAGAAAAATTGTGTATGTCTTTCAAGAAAAAAATGCATAAATATATTTATATACAGAAATAACTAGAATTTTAATTTGCCTGTTAAGTTTTATTGGTACCTTTGGGTTTTGGTAAGCAGTAACAGCAGTAAAGACTGTCTCAGGGAAGGAGAAGGTCTGAAATGAGCCCCAGCACACAGTATGTGGACTGTCTGCCTGTATCACATGAAAGCGAGGGTAGTAGCGATGCATGGAGTGAAGAATAATCTGAAGAGTAAAAGAGAAAAATAACCACAGTAAACACCCAGCGTAAGGACATTTTCATGGTCTAATTTATGCATGAAAAATGTTTTTACGTGGCCGTGCTGATCTAAGGTGTTGTTGGTGAGCTTCATCTTGAGGAAGGAAAACGACTGCTTCATCCAGTGACTTCCAACAGCAGGGGAGTCGGGGTGAATGTATGTCCGACATGGGGGCTCGGGCTCAGACTTTCCTGCGACCTCCCACTGTTCCTTTTTCCACTACAGAGAGACAGATGGGAGGGGTGGAGAGATGCAGCATTATCACATGAGAGACTGCAGGATATAAGTAATTAATCAAGAAACTCCAAGAAGCAAAAAAAAAATATTATAATTCATCCTTATGTTTATTTGCAGCAAGTAAAACTACTACTTTATTTTAAATCCCAGTTTAACATCCAAATCCTCTCAGACAGCAACCAAAGTAAAACCTTTGATTTGCTGTTTCCAAATGTGTTGAAAGCAACTGCTGAGACCAAATGGGCCGCAGAAAACCATAGGAGCTGCCGAATGTATGTGATGGCAGTCTGTTCCTCCATCGTCGAATGTGAATGAGGCTGGGATGCTAATTGATTGGGCTTCCAGCCTGGAGTGCACAAACAGGAAGCAGTAAAAGGCTTTGATATGCAGCAGTGAACGGTTGCAGGCAGACAGGGTAGAACAGTGTCTGACTGCAAACTGCTGCCTCATATTCTACAGCCTGATTGCTTAAATCCACTGACAAAAACAGAATATATAAGGGATGTGTTACATTATATCATACCTTGTATTTAAGGTTGTCTGCAGGGACGATATCCACCATAATAACATAATTTGCAAAAGGTTGAAGCCCAGATAGGCTTATGCTGCAGTGTGGAAACATTCTCCTAGAATCAAGAGAGGGTGTTAGAAGTTCCTTTCACCATCTTTTGCAAATATCTTCCAATTTAAAGCAAAGCTTTGTGTAAACTTCCATTATTATAGTTCTATAGATATTTGCATTGGGAGAGCTTTCAATGTTTTTACCTTCCGTGTTTTGTTATTATCATCTCTGTTCCAATGGTGTGAAAGGATTTCCATAGCTCTGAGTTCTGCAGGGTCATCCGGACGCAGCCTTGCTGGTAAGAATTTGCAGCTGATGAACACTGAGGCATGCTAGGATTTAATCTTTGGTCTGCTGGAAAATTGGAATTAAATATAAATGAGAAACATTGACAAAAAAGTAGAAATATAAATGCACAAACAGCTCGATTTGTTGTCTGAATTATACATTTATTTCAACTGCAGTGCAGAAAATGCAATGCACAGTTTTGTGCAAAGTTGTAATCAGAAGGTTTTCCAAACACTTTTTTTGTTGCACTTTTTCATTTACTCAAAAAAAAAAAAAAACAGAGCCTAACACTCCATATGCCATGACAAAGTCTGTATCAGGTTAGATAAAAAAAAACAGAAAATGCCAGATTGTGCGCAATAAGGCACAGTTTGTGGTAGAACCTCAAAACAGGAGCAACGTTTTACAACAACATATATTTCACATGAATAACTCTTTAGTTCCAGATCATAATAATGGAAATACATTAAAAGTTAAAATGATAAGATTACCGTTATGGATCTTAAAGTTTATTACATGGTTGTAATTTTTTTTCATGACTGCATTGACATTTATTGATAGAGTAAATGGTTAAAATTATTCTCATTCTTTCAACAACAACAACAAAAAAATCCATCTTACCAGAGATATTTGGCATGCTACTATGTGGTGCTGCTATCCTCACAAAGCAAACAAAAGGAAAATCACTGCTTTCAGATATTTGAAAACAAGCAGGGTACTTCAGGGATACCTATCCTTGAGAGGTCTGCTGAAGCTTGAAGTTGATTGGTCATTACTAAAGAGGTGTGGTCTAACCCACCTGGTGGAAACATTACTTGTTTTCTGCAAATGCAAAGAATTCTGCAAGAATTAACTTAATCTCTTGATTAGATTTTTATATGTGACAATTTTTTTGATAAAATAGTTTGCATATCTTTCAAAATAAACAGACAAAGAGATGCTAAAATATTACATTTTTAGGTGGGAAATTAATAGGCTATATTAAAGATTTCCCTGTTTTTTCTTTTAAGGCAGACAACTTCTGAATGGATACCTATGCAGTTTGTTAAGAATTTATGTTGCAGCAACTAACATTAAGGTATTTTACAAGAATAGATTTAATGGACCATCATTTGAAAACACATATAAATTAAATTAAACAAAATTATATATAGTTTTCTACATTTCTTGCATTAAAATGTGTATTGTGTATAAGTATCTAGTCCCTTTTTTATGATACCCTTAAGCAAAATCAAAACAAACTGCTCTCAGAAGTCACCTTGTAAACCAATTGGACCTGTTTGTCATTAATTGTGATTATAGATACAGCTATTGACATGGAGGTTTCTTTGAGACCCTTGTTGTACAAATAGTATAAAGGACATCAATAAATTGAGTAGTCATAAAGATGAAGAGTTTAAAGCAGGTTTAATTTATAAAAAAAAAAAAAAAAAAAAAAGCAAAACAGGCAGCTATCTTGATATCTTTGGAAGAGAATCAGAGGAAGACAAACAAATTGGAGGTTTGAATCTTAGCTCTTTATGCAAATGCATTGTGGAGCAAAATCAGTTTTGCACATTACCTTGAACAAACCATCCCTAATGTAACACATGATGCTGGAGGGATGCTTTTCATCATCATGAATGGAAATCCTGAAAAAGAACCTGCTACATATCAGGAAAAAAACATAAGATTGGAAAGAAGGGTCAACGTTCTAGAGCTACCTCTACAACACATATACACAAATTGTCATCATGCATTTTGATTGACGTTGCACAGTTTACCGTAAGTACAGCGCTCAAGAATGTCAGCAAAGGTAGTTGACAAACACCTGTCAGGATTATCCTTATTGATGATGCTTGAGTCTGTTAATCCCTAATATTACCTGCCTATTGCGTGTCAGAACAAATGTTTTCCTAAAAGGTTCATATAATTGGGACAGTTCCTCTGTCAGGGTAAAAGTCCATCTTCATTATGCATCTGGCAAAGATTTGGGAATGGAATAAGAGCAGTGTCCTTGATCTAAGAACAAAATATAATATTTTGATAAGGCTGAAGCCATGGATGTCTCCTCATATGTAAACATCTATGATGTAACAATGGAGTTGTATAAAATGCTTCTTTAACTGTGAACTGTGGCCACTTCACGAGATGGGAACCCAGGTGGTAAAAGCTGCGTTTGGTAACCCTGAGCAACTTCTCTGGTCTGAATAAGATTACAATTTCTATCAAAATCTGTTGTCATGTCTCATGGTTATTTTTGGAGTGTGATTTAAAGAGTTTGTCCCGAGTTACGTATCTCTTCTCAGGAAAACAACCAGAAAGAGAAAGTTTCAAGGTGTAAACACAGAGCTTTCATTAACAGTGCAGTTTTGGACCCCAAAAGGCCTGCAGATCTTATTGCAGCAAATGATCGTTCTACAAATTATTAAGTGAAGTTGGCTTAAAGGAAATGCAGGCCACACTTTTCAAATGTTATTTGTAAAAATATATAAAGAAACTCTTTCATTTTCTTTCCATCGTCAGCATATATTTAAAAGTTTGGTTGTACTGTAAAAAAAAAAGGGAAGAAGGCATTTAAAATACTCTTGCAAACCGTAATCAGGACTCTGGCAAATAAGAAGCACCCCCACCCCCACTGCTTCCAAATGTGTATTAGGAACAAGATGTGAAATCACAGAGGTTACTGAAGTCTTAGGTCTGGCCTTGACAATGGTTCTTCTCTTATCCTGCCAAATGGTCTCGTTGCATCCACCCCCCATGTCTGAACCATGATGTCTTTTTAAGTGTCCCTGGGGGGGTTGGGGGGAGAAGGGGGTGGCCTCTCTTCTCCTTGAAAGCCAGTTCACAAGGATGAGTGACATGAGGAAGGAGAGAAAGGTGGAGGTATATTAAAGAAAAACAAATATTATGATAAATATAGCCTTACCTTAAGTTTTAGGTATCTTATTGTAATTATTTTAAGCAGGCTGGTCATTAAATGTTAAAACAATGGCCCTAACACACACACAGACTGATAATATTTCAATCTTGATACATCAAATTCCTGCTGTTTTGGATCTGATCCAATTTACACATCTATAACAACCACAACTTCTCTTTGAAGGTTTCTATATTTTTTAGGCATGCCTAGTGTTTATGGGAGGGTTTGTTCTCTCTTCCAGGACATCTTTTAATAGGTCTAGCAAAGATGTTGAACGAGAAGACCTAACTTGGAGTCACCACTAATCTCTAATTTATCCCAGATGTGCTCCTCTAGGTTTAGGTCAGGACCGTGTGCAGGTCAGTCAGGTTCCTCCGCAGTAAATCTGCTCCTTCATGTTGCAATAGAACAACACCAAACTATATTCAGATAATTGAAAGCATGAAATTCTCCAAAACTTGCTTTGCTTGAACAAAGTGGCCATGCTGAACTCTGAAAGACAAGTCCTGTCCCAGTCAGGCTAGTGATGCTCTCTTAGCAGCTGCTTAGCCAACAGATGTCCATATGATTGCAAATTAAAGAAACACGATCCTGCTATCCAGAGAACACATCTCTGCTCTAAAGTCCAGAGGTGGCACATTTTGGTGATGTTAGGTTTGTATGCATCTGATCAGCCATGGAAACCATTTATAAAAAGCTATTTAAACATTGTTCTAGATCTAATGAAACAGCAACAGGTAATGTGGATCAGTTGACTAAATCATTTCACTGTCTCTATATTGTGATTTTACATAACATGCCAGTCTGATATACTATTGTTTCCAATTCATTTTCTCATTGCTATAATAACACCAGTAGCTGCTTATTAGAAAATACACTTTAAACTGAAAATGACAAGAATAGCCCAGTGAAAGTCTAGATTATGATCTGTTCAGAGAGAAGATCCATCTCCAAACACCGAAAGCAGCAGAATTTTCATAGAATAGATGGAGGAAACTTTACGTTTTTTTTTATATCAAAAGAGTGGGATAAAAGTGGGATAACCCTATAAAGAGATAATTCTGCAAAAAAAGGAAAATACTTACTTCTGAAGCCAGTAATTGGTTCATCTTTTTCATAGAAGAAATAGCTACTGATTCATATAAAAGAATTAAAAATCTTATGGCTTATAGTCCTGCATCCATTATCTGTTGGTATGGCTGCAAATTTAACAGATTAATTACTACTAATTATATTTTGCCATTATTTATAATTTTTTTCTTGCAAATTTCAATATATTATCAAAATAATCTTTCTATGAAAATATTTCCACTTTTTAAAGAAGAAAAAGTGTAGAAAAAGTTTAAATTTTAGCAATCTAGTAATATGATACATTTTGATGCTTCTTGTGTGGAAACTACATTCTTTAGATTTAAAAGAATTTTTGAATGATTTAGAGACGGACTTGCTGCCTTTGAAATAACGTTTTGCATCGAGAAAAGACAAGTTGGAACATTCCTCCTCTGCCTGAATCAACCTTAGGCTTAAATGAGGAATTTGCTCTGTTCCAGCCTGTGGCATGTAAACCTCTGCAACTACGCAACCACCTCGGCTTCTGCTAACAATATTAAATCAGAAGGAGTACGCATAAAGAAACAAATAGATTTTTAAGTTAGAGCTCAGAAGCAATGTATACAATTGCAAGCATCAATTTAAAGGTAAACTATTTATGAGATAGACTGTTTGGCTGTTCTCTGTTACATTAGTTCAGACATTCAGATAGTTTAGACATTCAAATAACTGCTGCTGCAGTTATTTTCTGACAGGAAATCAGAGGCGTAGCCAGAAAATCCTAATAGGGGAGGCCAGTCAATAACCAGTGTACATTGAGGGGTGGCCGAAAGGCACCAGAACCACAGGGTCAATCTACACTGTTTCAACAGGAACGAGCACAACATCCATATTTTCTAAATAAAGACAAGCTATGCTTTACTGCAGTCTTTGTTCAAAAAATAGGTATAGTGGACAAACTTCTTTCAGGTTTGAGTTCTGGGACGAACATATTTTACATTGTCATTACCTACTTTTATCAATAATCATTCTGCAAAAAATGATATATAGGAGCTAATTATTTTTTGTTAATAATTAAAAATGTCTTTTGTTTTTGTGCATAATCTAG